CCCTGCAAAATAATAATAATAATACTTAGAAACAAACAAAAAAGGAAAATGAAACATTCACTGTGAGCTTGTGTATGGTAGGTCAATACATTCATCGTGTATTGTAGGTTAATACAAATACGAATAATATGACTTACATCATACCCAGGAGGAATGAAAGCCAAATGCTGCTAACGACTCAGAATAGAAATCTAGTGCTGAAGTGGCCAGATGTCCCAATGACAAGCTATAGTCAAATAAGAACTATTTTAAAAACTCAGATCCTCTCCATTAACATATCTTCTTTCCACTTTTCTTAGAGTGTAGTTGCAAGTTATATTGATGAAACCTCCATGGAATTAAAAATGGAACCGAGCTGATGCAAATAGAGCCCCTGTGAATGCGCTCCACTGACAAGTGATCAAGCCTCACAGCTGATGACTGGAAAGTGGCTACAACAGATGCTAACCAATGACTAAAGTTGCAGCTAAATGGATTTAGTATTTACTTATGTATAATACACTCTTTTGAGCCATTCACATGCATTAATTTTAGCATCAATATTATTATCCCCATCTTATACATGAGAATAATTAGTCACCATGATGTTTCAAAACCAGAAAAAGAAAAAAAATATATCTCGTACTTTGTAATTTAGAAAACCGGACTTCAACCCTGGGAGCAGATTGATACCATGTTGGGGATGGGGAACCTGTTGCCTTCTAGTTTGATAAAATTCTTTTATTTTTATTGAAACATTTTAATTTATTTGTACTAATACTTTTTATTTTTAAAGCAAATCTACCATTTGTTCTATAAAATTTGGATTGAATCAAAAGGCGATATATAGGGAGCTCCACGTGGAAGGTCACGTGCTCCCACCCCTTAATTGTACTTTAGAAGATCATTACCAGACGACCCTGTTTCAGAGAGTAGAAAGTAGGACTCATAAAAGCCATTACTCAAGAAGTACAACAGGTGGACTTTAAATAATTTAAAGAAGGATTATTACCATTTACAATTTGGAAGAGGAACCCAGGATTTTCTGGTTCTGTTTTCTGCAACAAGTGGTCACTATGTCGTTGCAGCTATAAGGCAGAATAAAACTCTGGAAACTATCAGAAAAGATTTTAGAAACAAAATAAGTAAGTTCAGTCCTTTTTAAAAATACAAATATAACATAAGCTTAATAAAGAAGCCTTCTGAATTTAAAGAAAAACTGGAATTGGGACTGAACAAAGAAGAGAGAGGCAACATGATCCCCAGGTGTGATGGACGCCCCAGATGACGCTGTTCTCTCTCATGATGTATTCGACCGTGGTGACGTCTGTGGGACATGGAAACATAGACCTGGACACAATGAAAGGTCCTATGTATGAGCCAATTCCAGCTTATTTAGACACAGTGTAAGAGTTTTTCTTCCTCAGGGACGATGCTTAGCAAATCATTGTAATTGAGAATTGACACAATAGTACTTAGTGATTTAACGCTACTTGGTTTTAAATCATAGGTGTGTCACCTGGGATGAGCCACTTAACCATTCTATATGTTATTCCCTTCATTTGTAAAATAGGGGGAAATATGAATTGCCTTATTCTGTTTGTAGTGAAGGTTAAGTGCAATGCTCTATGTAAAATGGAACTGCTTGAAAAATTTTAGTCAATTATTAGCACCAAATACTGAAATAAATTCTTTCCTTGCATAATAATCCCTATTTTTTTTTTAAGATAACTACCTTTGAGTAGAAAGAAGCTTCTGACTTTTAGAGGTGATAAATGTGTCCATTATCTTGAGAATGGTGATGATCACATGGGTGTATACACATGCCAACAATTACACATTGTGTCGGATGAATATGTACAGTTTACTGTATGTTGACCGACTCAACACACTTCTTAAAACAAACAAAACTGTGTGCATATGTGTGCATGTATTTAGTTGGTAGGACCATACAAGGCCCACGCCTCTCCCTCCAAAAAATGGGAACCAGGGCCTGGCGTGGTGGTTCACATGTGTAATCCTAGCACCCTGGGAGGCTGAGGTGGGTGGATTACTTGAGCTCACGAGTTTGAGACCAGCTTGAGCAAAAGCAAGACCCCATCTCTACTAAAAATAGAAAAACTGAGGCAAGAGGTTCACTTGAGCCTGCATTGGAAGTTGCTGTAAGCTGTGATGCCATGGCACTCTACCCAGGGTGACAGCTTGAGACTATCTCAAAAGAAATGAAAACCAATTTCTTTATAGCAGTAAATATAATGGCAAGAAGCAAAATACTTTATAGAGAAAAATGATTTTTACATATTACATAAATATGTAGTTTTAAAATCTCACAAGGAATTTTCTTAACCATAGAATATTGGGAATCAGTGATTGCATTTAACCTTGAGGTTTTCCACATGAAGAATGTATACTACTTCTTACATAAAGGCAGTGACTCCCTACAGATATTCCATGATGTGGTCTCTCTCGTGTGTGATTTTTGTGTCTTCACCAAAATCACTGAAGTCACCAAAATCTCTAGAGGCTCCTCAGAGGGATCAGTTGCAAAGCATTAGTGTTCCTTTAGGCAATAACATTTATTGGGTGCCCTTTATACATAGGGCTGTGCACTCTGCACAGAGCAAAAATGACCTTTTATTTTTAATTTCTTTTGGTCAGCAGTGACCCCTGTCTCTTTGAGCCATTTTCTCTGGAAATGGTGAAAGGAGATCTGCTAATAAAGAGTAAGCTAAGAAAGTTGGACAAACTTTATGTCTTTCCCATCGAGCCAAGTGATTCAAAATACTTTTCCACTATTCACTTTGGGAACAATCATGGAATTCTCTGATAAGTTATAGCTTTATCCAGATGAATAAATGCAAAGAATCCAACTAGAGATAGGAATGGGGAAGAGTGGTATTGGAGAAAACTGTGCCAGTTGTCAATCATGACAATAGTGCCACATGCCAATTATAAAATCTTAGTGTCATGAAACAGGAAAGGCTTCTTCAGCTCACACCTTTGTGTGTTAGACTTGATTTCTAGCACCAGAGCATCCATATTTTCCTGTGGTCACCTGCAGGTTAGCTGCTGATCTCGGATGTGCTCGCTCACCTGTCTTGGTAGTAGTTGGCCACGGGATGATCTAGTATAGACTTGGCTGGGATTAAAAGGACAACGCATCTCCATCTTCATCTTATCCTCCAGCAAACTAGCCTGGGCTTGTTCACACAGCCATGCAAAAGGGCAAAAGAAGCAAGCCTCGCAGTTAAGCCTATTTTGAGCGCTTCTGCTTATGTCTCATTTCCTAACATCCCATTGGCCAAAGCGATTTGCATGGGGTCAGGCGGACAGTCAAAGTGAGAGGGTTCCACAAAATTGCACAACAAAGGCCAAGACACAGAGAGGGCTAAAGAAATAGGGCCAGTAATACCATTAAGCTTTAGCAGAACGTATTTTCTCTGCAGAGTCATGAGAGTGGGGGTATTTATTTTCAGGCTATAAACCGGCAAATGAATATTTCATTTCTTGAAGCAAATCAACTAAAATGTGAACTGTCCCAACCATATTAATGTGTTGACCAAACTTGTCAGGCCAATATGGCTTTCTGTTTATTCATTCACATAAAAATATATTTGTGGTAATAACAAGCAGCAATTTACCAGTCAAAGAGGAATGTGTAAGGGAACATCACTTCTCACAAAGTAATTCTTGCCCTGTTGGGTTTCAGAAGATTGTCCTTTTTCCATGCCCTTGTTGGAAGAGGGGTTCTGTCATACTTCAGTTTTGTTTACTTTCTCTTAGGAAATTAATTTCCATAAGTCCTGTGGAACACACCACAGTCAGTTTGTGATTCAGGAGTTCTAGCCATATCCTTTAGCTATATTTCATCATGTGGGTTCCCTCAACATGCTAATCATTGTTCTCCCCAGGATGCTGTCTGGATTTTACTGGGTAAATGGAGTGAAAGGGTTGGGCGGGTTCAAATTCTTTGGAATTGTGGAGGATTAATGAAAAAACAAAGCTAATTTGATTGCAGTTAGCAAAATATCTCTCTTTTTAAAAAGAAGCTCACTTTCCAAAATGGAATCCTACAGTTTCTACAGTGAAAAACACAGTTGCACTGGGGGAGAAATACTTACCCACACATAAGTATCAATTTTGAGTTTGTTTCTATCCTGACTAGATGGGTTGGTGCCTGTCTCTTTACTTGTAAGGCGAGTTCCCATTCTGCTTCAACAGATTATTTTTTCAACAATATTTGCTATGTTCTTTTATGGTCTGCCAGTACTTTTTTGAAGCCCAGTTAGTTAGAACCGCAGCCAACAGAATTGAGACTAAAAGAGGGCCAAGTATCTCTCCAGGAGCAGGACTTGACTTCAAAAGATATTCATGACAAAGCACTACTGTGATTCAAATAATCACTTATTTTTAAGGGGGATTTGCTAATACAGAGTTGGTTTCTTATCTTCCCAGCCCCCAGTGAGCCTTTACTGTGCAAATTTGCTGATGGTGGACAAAAGAAGCGGCAGAATCAAAGCAAATATACCCAGAACGGGCGGCCTTGGCCCAGGGAAGGAGAGGTGAGTCCAACTGACAACTTTTGCTCAGAAATTTGGCAGCAGAGGTCCCTCAGAATGCTGGCAAGGCAGAGATTTGGTGCCATGAATTAGGTCCCATGGAAAACCAAACGACTTCAAAGGGGCAAGCGAGCAGCCCTGTGTTAGTGTGTTCAGGATGAAATTACGTGAGAAGAATAGGACTTCAAAATTAACCTCCCTTCCGCACTACAGTGTGTCGTTGGTCTTTAACCTAACTTGAACCTAAAAGGAACTCAGTGAAAGACTTACCCACAAAGCATTGGGCTGGAATTGTTTGATAGTTGGAAAACGAGGATACGATTGCTTAAGAAAATATTTTTGGTAAAATAAATAGGGAGAATTGAATGTTTATGCTTTGAAAATTAGCAAGCAAAATTTTAGATTGGTTTTTTAGCCTGCCACGGAGATAATCTATTTGCCCATGTATGTGTCTTGATCCACATGCCTCTGTATTCATAAATGTATTGATATGTTTTATTTATGTACATATCAATATAAAACATGATATTTAATGTTGGTCAAAAAGGAGGGAGAAGTGTTGATATACAGAGTTTTGCTTTTGACAAGACAAGACAAAGGAAAACATTCAATAGTTAACTATCGATTTACCTACCTTCTTAACATAAAGTGGTAGACAAGCAAGCTTATGGATCCAGTGCCACTGGGGAATTGATTCCCTTTGGTTACTTTTTGTGAGAAGGCAAGGGAAAGGTATCTGGGCTTCTATGAGATCTTTTCATTATTTGTGAAATGGCATGGAGTTGTTTGAATGACTTGAATAAATGCCATTTTGTGCCAAGGCTATAATTTCAACAGAAGAGCTTTATTTAGTATTTCTATTTAAAGTACCTACTTCATCCATTCATCATTTAAGAGGCATTGTACTTGATGCAGCATTTTATACTTTCATCACTGAGAGCAGTGTAAGAGAGAAAGGAGGCTGAATTTTTCTAAGCAACCCCTTTAGCCAGTTTTTAGTTCCTAAGACCATCGTCTGTTTCAAGTGTTTCCGTGCAGATCTGAAAGCCCCTCTTAAAAGAAAATTAAATAAAATTTTAAAAACTCTTAAAGTATATAGTTATGTTCAAGTACTATATAATCAATAACCCATTACAGTAAGACATGAACAGCTGAATCATCATTGAGCATTGAAAGCTAATTTTAAAAGGCAAGAATTTTAAGATCCTCATCTTTAGAAAGGGTATATTATGTTCTGTAAGGGAGATAAGTATGCGGTGATTCCTGTGTCCTTAGCATGAAGTTGAGTGCATCAGCAGGTAACTTAAATTATGCCCAGAAGACTGCTAATGCCTTAGACAGACAGCACCCATTAGCACATCCATCCCATACCAAAACATCAGAGTATGAATGTTTTTGCCACAACAAATAAGTAAGCAAAGAGACGGTTATGTTAATCAGTTAGATGCAAGCATTCCACATCAAATCAGTACATTGTATCCCATAAATGCATTCATGTGCACAATTATGATTTCATAAAGAATGTTTTTAAAAAAGATTTATTTAAACTTTAAAAATTTGGTTAGGTAAAATGCCTGCTGGTTGGAGGTATCTTCAGATCACAGACCAAAACCCCCAAAGCCCCAAAACTCAATTAGGTAAGTTAGCACTGAAGACTGAACCTTCAGATTCTGCCTCCTTAAGAATCTGAAATATAGCCTTCACACAATAGATGCCAGTTACAGAAAGACACTCCACTGCAGTCTACATTTCTTGGAAATCAAATCAATAGACATAAAATAAATGTAGCATTAGAGCTGCCGTGTGGTTACTGTATGTAGAATCTAGGGCTTTTGATTCAGAGCCTGATAAAAACCTTTTGTACTATGGTGTGGACGTATCGTAGAGTCCATGTGAGGGACCCCGGGCACCTTGTAATTTAGATGTAAGTCTTAAAGGTGTCTTCTTAAGTTTTGTTTTCAAAAGTTTTGTTTTTAAAAAAAAACTATAGATTTTTCTTGTTGGACTCTGAAAATCATGGACCATAATAAGTTTGTCTATGACCAATGAAAATATATTCCAAATGTGTAGACACATTGAAAGGTAAGAAATCAGGAAAAGAAATGAGATGCACTAGAAATACGCTTATCAGATTTCTTGGTTTGGGGAGAAGTTTCCTTCATACTATCCTTAGATAGTGGTCTTCAAAGTGGATACACCAAGAATGTTAGACAACTCTGCCCATCATTTAGACCTTTTCTTCTTATATTTCCCATGGTATTGTGCTTGCTAGAATGAAGTACTTTAGAATGGTTTACAAAATAATTGTAAATTAGAGATAGTTAATTAGCATTATATACCAATAAATTCTGATTACTCCATTTTAATGATTCAAAGACACATTTTTGTTATTGTCATGTTATACATTTTAAAGCTTCTGAGCTTGACTTTCCACTAATATGAATGGCATTCTACAAAACAGTTTGCGTTTATACCTGTTAGTTACGTGAGGAAACTACTTACATTTTCTGCTTACGGTCTTTGACCTCACTGGTTAAAATACCCACCAAAGTGAGGACTCTGGGCCAGATTTTCAGGGGAGATTTTTTTCCTTATTCCCTTCCTACCTCCAGTGTCAATTTTCCATTTCTAATGAGTGGTTTAGTTTTTCATTTACCATTACATGCTGAAGTTGACATCCCAACATCACAAGGGGATGATTTTGGTTGTTTTTATTTGGTTGTTTGTTTTGGCATATAAAGCAATGGTGCACCTTTCAATCCGTGTTGCCTTAGACAAAATGAGAGATGATAATGTAGATTGTGCTGCTTCAAAATTTGAAATAATTGCTCAGTCTAAGGCTAATGTTTATTTTCCTCTCACTTTTTTTTAAAACTTCCCTGTCTTTTGGAAGTCAAGTAAAGCAATGATAATGTGTGAAGCATTTGTGATGAAATGCTTAAGATACAGAGTCAGGGGATTGTAAGCATTATAGAGGCACCACAAATATGCCAATTGGTATGCTAACTAAATTTGTCCTGTATTAGTTGAAGATATATCTTTTCTGGGTGGAATTTTGATAACAATATTATTAAGAGTTGAGTGAATGCATTTTCATTAAAAAAAATCTAATACTGAAAACTTTTACACATATATTATGTGTATGTGTATAATAGAAAAAGCTTGAAATATAAATACAGGGTGTAAATAGCAATATTTTGAATTATAAATACAGGGTGGCCATAAAGTTCATGTGCACACATTTTAAATTTCACATGAACTTTATGGCCGCCCTGTGTATGCAATGCTAATGTTTTTACATAGGTAGAAAATATGAGGATATTGCAAAATGATCAATCATCTTTCAAGAGACAACGGGAACTCTGAGTAAAATGTTCAGGGGATTAAGGCCATTATGCTTTTCTTCCCCAGCGTGCTACATTTCTTGTTTCATTTGTTTCTCTATTTAGCAGCAGTTCTCAAACTCTTTGTCTTGGATCCCTTTATTCTCTTAAAACTTATTATTTATAACAGAATGACAAGAATAAACTCAGCCCATGCAAATAAAAATATTACCTTTTTATGAAAAATAGCTGTTCTCCAAAGCAAAGGCAAATTCTCCACATGAATTGGAGAAAAGTGGTATCCTTTTGCATTTTTGCAAATCACTTTATTGTTTGGCTCAGTAAAAGATGACCAGATTTGTGCATCTGCTTCTCATTGAACCTGTTGTTATGTGCTGTCTTATTTTAAACGTGTAAGGAAAACTTGACTTCTCCTAGAAATGTTGTTGAGAAAAGGGAGGATCTCATAGATGCCTAAAAAACATCTTGGGGACCTTCAGGTTCTTTTGGCCACACTTTGAAAACCACTATCTAGAGAAGCTCAAACCAAGGACAGAGCTGGTGTTTAGCTTCAGTAGGTTACAAGGGCCTTGCAGCTTGTTAGTATGTTAAAACAGATCTTTATCATTTGGAAAATAGCCACTGCCCATAGTCCTTCAGGACAACCTCACTTCCCCTTCCACCTTCTTCAAGAACCTTCCATCATGCAGCAAGAATGCGGGGCTGGCTGCCACAGCAGGAGGTTTTCAGGCTCCTACCCCAGCTTGCTTACATTCTGATTGGCCAGTGCTTATGACATACTGCTGGGGAGATGTTTTTAACATCTCCTTGAGCTCTGAGGTCCTCTCACTCTGTTGTTGCAGTGACCCTCAAGACTCCATGGTGTTCTGTTTCATATAAGTCCATATCTTCATCTCTTTAGGCAAAATGCCACTCAATTTGATGTTATCTGTACTTTCCCAAATGGCTAGTGTGGAACCAAGAGCACTTCAAATCAGTCCCAAAATATATTGGAAACATGAAGCGGAACTCCCGCTGCTTCTTGCTATGTCCCCATAGAAGACATTTCCAAAGTTTACCAAAAAGTCACCAAACTGGACTCCATGCTGGAACTAATAAGAACAGCTGTTCAAAAAGCAAAGTGCTGCAAAAATTTTCTAGATGGCCAAATCAGAATCTCGGTGAATGTACTTGTGGTATTAATATTTTTACAACCTTTATTCAACTATGTTGCAAAGATGATTGGATTAAATCAAAGAATGGACACATTTCCACCATGATAATGAAAGTCATTCAGACTTTGGAACCACTTTAACTTTTATTGTGACTGGTCTTTTATTTTAATTTTTATTTTTTTAAGGATTTTCAAATATAGGTAAACACTAAGTTTCAAATTTCAGAATACTATGCTCTTTAATCAAAGTTTTATGCTGAGGTTTTATTCTTAAATGGTTCAAATATCATGAGAAAGCCAGTTTTTACTGGCTTCAAAACTCCATCTAGCTTTCATAAAATTTTCCCAAGCCCTCCATTAATTCAGTTAGTAAATGTCATTGATAACAATTGCTTTGGGAATTGCACTTCCAAGAAATAATGTTTTAGCTACGGACACAAACAAGAGACATGGCAATTGAACAAAAAGTAACTGAACAAAGTGCTCAGATGTCTAGTGAACATGTG